GGTTGAATAGTGTGTCTCAGCAACACACAACCTCAGCAAAACGTCAAAAATAGCTAAGTCTGAACAATGCCCTGTGAACAGAGTTACAAGAAGTATGTTTTGACTCGCCAACAAAATCATACTCTACCAAAACAGTCTAAATCACGAACAAATGGCCAGAAATGAGAGACGAGCTTCTAGGACAAGAAGCAGATCTAGAGAGCAGTGCTTGTCATGTGATGACCAGCTATGGAAAGACTCCATGAGGCAGGGAGGGCAGTCTCCAACCTCAGGTGTGATCACTTGACTAGCCAGTGCTACTCCACAACGCCACCAGGTAAACAAGCGAGCCAGTAGTTAGCAAGGCAGTATGCAGGAGTGGACAGCCAGTCACAACTCTCCAACAGCGAGCACAGTGAAGTGTAAATGTAACATCCTACCTAATGATATAGCTAAGATAATAAGTCTAATAATTATATAGTGTCGGCCAGGCTGTAAGATGGTCTGCTAAAATTGTTTTACCCTCGCCTTGGTGGCCAAGTTGGGTGGCAGCTTATTCTCGTCTAGCTGGCCTAATGTTTGCAGCTGTCTTGGTGGGTGTAATTACAGAACACAGTTTTCTGTGTATCCTCTCCTGTAATTACATATTATATATAAATACGTTTATACTACAGTATATAAATGAGAGAGTGGGTGAGATGTTATCAACAAATTTTGTTGAAAAAGTTTTGGAGTGAGATTAATAAGTTGAGGAAGCCTAGGGAACAAATGGATATGACAGTTAAAAATATGAGAGGAGAGTTATTAAATAGAGAGTTAGAGGTATCGGGAAGATGGAGGGAATATTTTGAGGAATTGTTAAATATTGATGAAGATAGGGAAGCTGTGGTTTCGTGTATAGGGCAAGGAAGAATAACATCTTGTAGGAGTGAGGAAGAGCTAGTTGTGAGTGTAGGGGAAGAAGGCAGTGGGAAGAAGGAAAGGGGGTAAGGCAGCTGGGATTGATGGGATAAAGATAGAAATGTTGAAAGCAGGTGGGGATACAGTTTTGGAGTGGTTTGTACTATTATTTAATAAATGTATGGAAGAAGGTAAAGTAACTAGGGATTGGCAGAGAGCATGCATAGTTTCTTTGTATAAAGGCAAAGGGGATAAAAGAGTGCAAAAATTATAGGGGAATAAGTCTGTTGAGTATACCTGATAAAGTGTATGGTAGAGTTATTGAAAGAATTAACCCTTAGAGGGTCGACAGGCCCTCTCTGAGACTCGTTCTCAGGGTCGGCCAAATTTAAAAAAAAAAAAAAAAAAAAAAAAATTCTGAAAAGATAGAGAATCTTTTCCCGATCATAATAACACCAAAAGTATGAAATTTGATGGAAAACTTACAGAATTATGCTCTCGCGAAGTTAGCGGTCTTGGCGATGTTTACGCATCGGCAATTTTGCCCACTTTGAGCCCCATTTTCGGCCAATTCCACTATACTAGTCGACAAAAAACATGAATATTTCGCTAGAACTCCATTTTTTCTATCGAATGAGTGCAAGAAACCACCCATTTACCAATTTCAACTATCCAGTACAGTGGTCTGAATTTAGCAATTTTGCCAATTTCACACAAATTTCAAAAGATGCCAATTTCCGAATAGGGTCCAGAATAAACAAGAAAGACATTCCTGGCACTAAAATGACATTTCTTCTGTTCATTAGTCATGTCTCAAGGCCCCTTTTACATTCTTTTGCTTTCCACTTTGAATTTTTATTCTCACAAAAAATAGAAGATTTACTGTTATGCAGACTACTGCATTAGTGTAAAAAATAGTATAAATAATATTGGCGCACTTGCAAAAGAATATTAGACTCACCAGTTGATGTGTATTGGACGCTTGGCATGATTTGTTTACTTTTGAACTTCGGTAAAAATCGAACATTTCTGCTACTTAGAGCTCAATTTCAAGGTACTTTTTCATTGTAAAACCAGTCAAAATCATCTCAATTTCTGTAATAAGTCTTCCATTCTATAAAATGAGACCAAGAAAACTAGAATACAACAATAAATACCATACGAAAATACAGTGCAAAGTCGCTGTTTTATTCCAAAAAAACGGTCAAACTTTTTTTTTTTCTCATTATGCACTGTGTGCAGCAGGATTTTTTTTATACTGTGCACACTGACCACATAGACCCATTCTTTCATATGTAGGCCTACCAGCTTTTTCCCACTAGATTTGAGGGCACTAGAATTTAGGCATACTAGTACGTCAAAAACCCTGGGTCGTAAGCCGTACTAGTACGGCCGAAACCCTCAAAGGGTTAAGAGTAAGACAGAGAGTAGGATAGCAGATGAACAAGGAGGCTGTAGGAAAGGTAGGGGGTGTGTAGACCAAGTTTTTACAGTGAAACATATAGGTGAACAGTATTTAGATAAGGCTAAAGAGGTTTTTGTGGCATTTATGGATTTGGAAAAGGCATATGACAAGGTGGATAGGGGGGCAATGTGGCAGATGTTACAGGTGTATGGTATAGGAGGTACGTTACTGAAAGCAGTGAAGAGTTTTTACGAGGATAGTGAGGCTCAGGTTAGAGTATGTAGGAGATTATTTCCCAGTAAAAGTAGGCCTTAGACAAGGATGTGTGATGTCACCATGGCTGTTCAATATATTTATAGATGGGGTTGTAAGAGAAGTGAATGCGAAGGGCAAAAGGTGTGGAGTTAAAAGATAAAGAATCAAACACAAAGTGGGAGTTGTCACAGTTGCTCTTTGCTGATGACACTCTGCTTTTGGGAGATTTTGAGGAGAAGTTGCAGAGGTTGGTGGATGAATTTAGTAGGGTATGTAAAAGAAGAAAATTAAAAGTGAATATAGGAAAGAGTAAGGTAATGAGGATAACAAAAAGGTTAGGTGATGAAAAATTGGAGGGAGTGAGTATGGAGGAGGTGAATGTATTCAGATATTTAGGAGTGGACTTGTCAGCAGATGGGTCTATGAAGGATGAGGGGAAAAGGGTGAGTGGTGCACTTTGAAGTCTGTTGAGACAAAGAACTTTGTCCATGGAAGGAAAGAGGGAATGTGAGTATAGTTATACCAACACTCCTATATGGGTGTGAAGCATGGGTGATGAATGTTTCAACTAGGAGAAGGTTGGAGGCAGTGGAGATGTCATGTCTGAGGGCAGTGTGTGGTGTGAATATAATGCAGAGAATTCGTAGCTTGGAAATTAGGAGAAAGTGCAGGATTACCAAAACTATTATCCAGAGGGTTGAGGAGGGGTTGTTGAGGTGGTTTGGACATGTAGAGAGAATGGAACAAAGCAGGATGATTTTGAGAGTGTATAAATCTGTAGTGGAGGGAAGGCGGGGTAGGGGTTGGCCTAGGAAGGATTGGAAGGAGGGGGTAAAGGAGTTTTTGTGTGCAAGGGGGTTGGACTTTCAGCAAGTATGTGTGAGCATATTTGATAGGAGTGAATGGAGGCAAATGGTTTTTAATACTTGATGTGCTGTTGGAGTGTGAACAAAGTAACATTTACGAAGGGATTCAGGGAAACCAGCAGCCTGGGCTTGAGTCCTGGAGATGGGAAGTGCAGTGTCTGCACTCTGAAGGAGGGGTGTGTTAATGTTGCAGTTTCATAACTGTAGGGTAAAGCACCTCTCTGGCAAGACAGTGATGGAGTGAATGATGAAAGTTTTTCTTTTTCGGGCCACCTTGTCTTGGTGGGAATCGGCCAGTGTGTTAATAAAATAAAAATAAAAATATCATAGGTAGTAGGCTGGTAGACAGCAACCGTTCAGGGAGGTACTACCATTCTCTCAAGTGAGTGTAAAATGGACACCTATAATTGTTTTACATGATGGTAGGATTGCTGGTGTCTTTTTTCTGTCTCATAAACATGTAAGGCTTCAGGTATGTCTTGGTACTTCTACTTACACTTAGGTCTCACTACACATGCATGTACAAGCATATATATACACACCTCTCTGGATTTTCTCCTATTTTTCTTACTAGTTCTTGTCCTTGTTTATTTCCTCTTAATCTCTATGGAGAAGCAGAATAGAATTCTTCCTCTGTAAGCCATGCGTGTTTTAAGAGGCGACTAAAATACTGGGAGCAAGAGGCTAGTAACCCCTTCTTCTGTATATATTACTAAAGTTAAGAGAAACTTTTGTTTTTCTTTTTTGGGCCACCTTGCCTCGGTAGAATACGGCCGGTGCATTGAAAGAAGATTTTCATTTTAGCTATTAATGAAAATATCGGCAATATAAAATTATATGCAACATTATATATAATATAGTGCTAGTATGTATGACATGATTTGACTTTTGTATGATCTAAATAATAATTGCAATGTGATTTTTAAGCTAGCTCTGCTTAAATGGGATACCAAATATATTAAAAACTAGAGTCAGTCAAGCAAAACTGATGACATATTCAGAATCAGCACCAAAAATTTGTCCTAAAATCGGTGTAATATCATTGACCAGAAAATGGGTGTCGATGAGTGAAAGCTATTCAGGGGTTCGACTCGGTGTGTCTATGTAAGTAATTATGTACAGGCAGGCCCCGCTTATGCAGCAGGTTAGGTTCTGGGCTGCTGCTGTAAAGCAAAAATTCACTGTAAAGTAAAACCACCTTTTTACACTTTCAAATGCATATAAAAGACTGATAATTTTTATCATATTAAGTTACCAGTAGAGCTAGGCCTAAAAAATGAATATACAGTACACACATTACTTGCCTTGAAATATTTTTATAGTTACCTTATAGTGAGTGGTGAATATATTTATTGTAGGAAGTCTGAATAAATGAAGAATGAGGATAACTGAAAACCACTGCATTAGTGAAACGCTGTAAAGCGGGGCCCTCCTTCATATAAATATTTTTCTTAACTATATCATTTAATCAGTATACAGAACCTGTTTATAAATTAGCATATTGAATTTTGCAAAATGTATGAGTGGATATCTTTAATTATATAGAATGTCTGGATCTAAAATGTTATTCTATAATTTCAAAATTTATATTCTAGACAGAAGACAATTGATACAAAGACCATTTGTCGGTCTGGTGAATGCTCAGGAGTACGTGGGATGTTCTGCGGGCCATGTCTCAAGAACAGATATGGAGAAGATGTTAGAGAAGCTCTTCTTAATGCTGTAAGTATATATTTTGCTACAATCTTGTGGTTTACTGTTTGTGATTGTATTTGTTGAAATTCAGTTCATCTGCAAGGAACAATTTTTTTTTTTTTTAACATGTTGGCTGTTTCCCACTGAGGCAAGGTGACCCAAAAAGAAAGAAAAAAACTATCATCATTCAACACTTTCACCATCTTTCATACATAATCACTGTTTTTGCAGAGGAGCTCAGATCTGACAGTTTAGATGTCACTCCAAACAGCCAATATCCCAAAGCCCTTCTTTAAAGTGCAGGCATTGTACTTTCCACCTCCAGGACTCAGATCTGGCTAACCGGTTTCCCTGAATCCCTCCATAAAACATTACCCTGCTCACACTCCAACAGCTTGTCAGGTCCCAAAAACCATTCGTCACCATTCCCTCCTATCTAACATGCTCACGCACGCTTGCTGGAAGTCCAAGCCCCTCTCTCATGAAACCTCCTTTACCCCCTCCCTCCAACCTTTTCGAGGACGACCCCTACCCTTCCTTCCTTACTCTACAGATTTATATGCTTTCCAAGCCATTCTATTTTGTTCAAGCATCTCTAAATGGCCAAATCACCTCAACAACCCCTCTTCAGCCCTCTGACTAATAGATTTAGTAACTCCACACCTATTCCTGTTTTCCACACTATGAATTCTCTGCATAGTATTTGCACCACACATACTCTTGTATATTCCCTTCTTTGTCTCCATGGATAACATTTTTTTTTTGTCTCCACAGATACCTCAAAGCACCACTCATTTTTTTTCCTTCATCAATGCTATAGTTAACCTCATCCTTCATAAACCCATCTGTTGTCAAGTCAACTCCCAAATATCTGAACATGGTCACTTCTACCATACTCCCTCCCTCCAGTGTGATATCTAATTTTTCTTTATCAAAATTGTTTGATACCCTCATCTAAGTTCTCTTTAAACTTTCTACGTTTACACAGTTCTACCTTTACATAATTTCTACATAATTTTTACACAATTTCTACCCTTCTATAATTCTGGTAGTAAATTGTTTATTGTGGATGCGTATGGAAATGCTACCCTACTATGTCTTATGGTTTCAGGATCAGATATTAAGCACTAGCTAATATAGGTTTAGTAGGTTTGAACTGAATTGTATTGTATAATTTTTAAGGTTAGCTGAGGTTGCTGAATTAGTTTTAGTGCAAAATAAAAAAAAAATATATGTAATTCATGTGACTTTCCATAAGAAAATATATGCAGTAGTTTTAAGAAAATTTGGCTGGACTTCTCCATTAAACAAGTATTGTTATAATGAAATTGTTATAAAAGCTCTAAAAGGCAAGGCTCAGCTTCAAGGTCATGCTGACTTGGCATACTACACACTGGTTTTTATCTTGACAAAATATTTTACTTTTAGCTTGATACCTCTGTTTTCATCCTTAGCTCATATTTTTATACTGTGCAGTATCTAGAGGATTTCTAATGAGGATTATTTCAGCTTCTATAAACAACACACAGTATTTGTTGGTTTACAGACATTCCTGTTGATTTATTCACTGAAAAAAGTTCTGAACAGTGGTTTTTCCTGCAATTTAAGCATATTTTTAAAATTTAAGATGCTCCAATTGAGAGTATAGTATAGTATATATTGTCAAATATTTGCAAACCTTGTACAGGCCATATAAATATCACATTATATTAAATTTGTAGAGGTTGTAATATGTTTTAGATAAAATTACAGTACTTTTTTTTTTTCATGCAATCTCTGGAATGGGTGTTGGTTATATTGCAAAGCCTTCCACTTGTATTTAAAAAAAAATATGTAGAACAGCTTGCTCCCCTTAGCATTTAAAGGTAATGTAATATTTTTGGGAAGATTTCTGTTGGGTAACTACCTTAGGGATGGGGAGAGTTACCAGAGGAAACATGGCTTCACAGCTAGAGGAAAAACCTTGATGAAATGGACTTATCACAATATTTTTAATCTTCAGTGAGTATAGTCTTGTGATAGGCAGATAGAGAGGATCAAGCCTCTGGCACCTTTAGGTGAATAAGAACATAAGAACATAAGAAAGAAGGAACACTGCAACAGGCCTACTGACCCACGCGGAGCAGGTCCATGTCCCCCCCCCCCCGGATTAGACCAATTACCCCCCCCCCCAGATTATACCAATGACCCACCCAGTCTGGTCATCCTCACTCAAGGATGGAGCACTGTACCAGACCCAGCAGCAAAGCTAGTCAGGTCCAACTCACACCCACTCATGTATTTATCTAACTTATTTTTTGGTTATAGTTTATAATTGTTAGGTTCTCATTCTTTACCCTTTTTTTTTTTTTTTTTTTTAATTTGCTTTATATAAAGATTATTTTCATAATCGGCTATCCTCTTTTAGAATTAGAGAAACTTGATTTTGAAAGCCTTGAATTATTACTCTAAAGTGCTGTACAAGATTTTAGTGTTGCCTTAATATTTTTTAATCTTTTTCTATGACAAAAGTACTTACCAATTTATTTGGCATAGGGATATTGACCTTTTATATACAAATTGTCTTCAGTCTAACTTGACTGTTTTTTTTTTTTTTATGTTCAACAAATTTCAAGATTATCTAAGGCAAGAAGATGCCATTTTTCATATAGATGTCACCTTAATTTAAGTATGATGGTACTGGGTTTTTATCAAACAATTTTATACACTAAGGGATTAAAATTTCTTTAACTTTTATTAATTTTCTTATGTATACACGCATGTGTTTGTTTTAATTGTACAGTATTTCGTAACCTGTTTAATCTTTCGAGTAATCTATATTTTGTAATGAAGTTAAATGCTTTGAGCTCGCAAAGATCTTTGTTATATTTACAGAAGTGGATGTGTCCTCCATGTCGTGGTTTGTGCAACTGCTCCATATGCCGTAACAGGAGTGGGAAGAGTGCCACGGGAATCCTCATCAACATTGCTAAGGCTCGAGGATTTGACAACGTGAAAGATTATCTTGAAAGCTTGATTAAGTAGCAAAGTTTATTTTGTGAAGAAAGTAAATGAAAAAAAATTGATGGTAGTTTTTTAGATTTGCTTTTATATTTTCCAGTACAGTAATTGCATTTGGAAATATGTTTGCTGTTAGATATATGTTAATATATTGTACTTTCATCAAATTTTACAGTTTTCTTGCTAATTTCTCTTATGATGTTTTCCTTTTTCTGTTTTAATTCTTTTTGTATTGGTATTTTACTTTTTTTTTTTTAAGACTTTATGGCAAATGATCTTACGACCAGTGATACTTTTGTTACTTTTTACCAGCTTTAGTTCTGCCAAAATTCTGCATTTCTCTAGCTGTGGTATTCTGCAGGGTTTTGTTCTATTTTTAACATACAGTATTTTATTATTCATTTATGATCTTCAATACATTCATTGCTATTCATTCTTAAGCTGATGACTTCACTTTGCACTTTTTCCTCATACTTGACATGTTACTCCTGCAGCACTGTAGGGGGCACAAATAGCTTTTTTAAAATTAATATTTTTGTGCATTATATTGAAGCATACCTTATTTTATCTTAATTTTTTTTCCATTTCATTGAAGCACATCTTATTTTTGCAGAGAACAAGCATTACTTTAAATATTATCTCATTGTTTATTCTGGAGAGTTTATCTGGAGAGAGTTTCGGGGGTCAACGCCCCCGCGGCCCGGTCTGTGACCAGGCCTCCTTAGGTCAGTGTCCCAGGATGCGACCCACACCAGTCGACTAACACCCAGGTACCCATTTTACTGATGGGGAACATAGACAACAGGTGGAAAGAAACACGTCCAATGTTTCTACTCTGGCTGGGAATCGAACCCAGGCCCTCGCCGTGTGAAGCGAGAGCGTTAACCACCAGGTATTATAATCATTTAAAGAAAAAGTCACATTATCATGATGGGAACAACTTGTAACCAACCCAAAATTTGGAGAGGGAACTTGTTTCATCTCCAGTTTGAGAGTTAGTGGCGAGTTAAAATTATTTGTTTTGAAACCCTTGTATGTCTGCAGTTGCAATGAGTACCTCCAAACATTTGGGATTTCTGTTTAGATTCAGAATATATTTATTTGCCATTGCTACTTTTCAGTTACTCTAATCTTGTCTTCCACGAGTCTTATATTTTTGTTTCTTTAAACTGTAAATCGGAGTTCACTTCTGAACAATGGCTGATTTTCTTAAAAAATTTTCCATTTGCAAAGCATTAATAAGTGACTTCGCCTTTAGACTGGAAATCTGATTAGTTTCATTTATCCTACCTCTTAAGATGGAAAATGACTAGTATTTCATAATGCTAAATTACCTTTTGACATGACAGGTGGATACAGTACTTACCTAAGTGGTTTATTATGTACTAAGTACTAGTGCCTGTCAGACCAGTATGTGGATGAGTTTGTAAAGTTTACAGTACTGTGTTATGAATGAACCAAAGAGTATTCAACACTGAAGATATTTTTCTTTAGATATTATCAGCATTAATTACTTTGAATAGACCTAAATTAATGTGGTTGGAAATATGTTGCATGTTTGTTACCCCGGCACACAAGGAACTAGTCAGTGTTTCACCTTGTGTTTGTAATGAGAATGATAAGTTCTGTGTCTGTCATCTGCATATGTTAGCTCATAAGACTTATCCTATGATAAAAATGCATGAGGAATGACAAGCATTAATGGTTAATTTGTGACAGATGTACATTACTTCATGCATACCAAAATAGGCCATGCTTATAGTATGTGTACTGCAAGTATTTTGAATGCATAAAGTACTATTGTTAATTTGTAGATAGTGGTTGATTTTTACCATATAGTTATAATAAGATAGTGCCATACAACCCTTAATGCTTATAAAGACTAGAATATTAGAGGCTAAGGTATATATGTAACTACTGTATATTTTTTTACTTGTACTGTAGGTTTTCATGGCCTAGCAACACTGCCATTATATGTTATCATCACTAGTTAGTTAATTTCCATTCAAGTTAATGTATCATACTCATAAGAATTATTCTGAATACACTGTACAGTCTGCTGCGGTATTTGCACAATTCAATATTAACTACTGCTTGCTGTACTGTAGTATTTTCATTGAATTTTGATAAAAGCTGGCTTGTTTCTGTGTACTGTAGTATACTGAGGACACCATGACCTGCACAGAATTGTTCAAAGGGCTCTGTGCTTGGTCTGTTAAATTCGCTTGTGAAACTCACACCATTTCACCCTTACCCAAGTTCTGGAGTTCATCAAACCACTCCATTTTACTTTTAGTAATAAAACAAAACTCTACCACCTCTCCAGAATCTATTTCAAGAAATTTGAGAATGGCTCTTCCTCAAATGCTCCACGCTAAATAACGCCTACAACTGAGCTGCCTTTGTTGTTCCCACATGCAACCAAGTCTGCTCCAAGCTACCCAAGAATCAAGACTTCCACCAACTAAGAACGATGCATTCTTGTCCTCAGACTACCCTTCCTGCTTCTCCAGTCCGCCCCACAAGCGCTTAACTGCTGGGTTAAGCCCTGGCACTATCTCTCCTACTCATAACCTTCCTCTCACCAATCTACTCTTTCCCTATCCCCACTTACCCTCTCACCCCACAAGGATCTTACCTATATTCTCTTGATCTTGATGTGTGTAAATATTGTTATTTTAAATCAAGGTCCTCTTCAAGGGGGGCTCCTTGGCATGGTGAAGAGGCTCTTGGTCTGAGGAATTAGACCTGTCGGTCTACTTCCTCAGACCGAACCTAATTACCCCCCAATCCCCCGTTCCCTATCCCATCCTCCCCTTTTTCCTTTCCTCCTCCTCCTCCCCACCCCTCCCTTTTGCCCTTCCTTTTTGGCCCTTTTTTTTTTTTTTTTTTTTTTTTATCCACAGGCACGCTAGTTCCTAGGTAGGGGAAAGGGTACCGGGGTCCATCCCATTCCGTTGAGGTTCTTGGCGGTGGCGTAGTTTGCCGTGGAATCTGGATTGCCTGGGGATGTCCTGATCCCTCTCCAGTATCCCGGAGGGTGGCTTTGGGTGTCTCTCGGGTGACGGGTGTATCTCTGGAAGCCACCTTTCGGATTCCGGGGGTGGTGGCCGAAGGAGGTATGCTTTGTGGCGGATTTCCGGCTGCCCTCTCTTTTGTCCACCGAGGTAGCTCGGCAGATGTGAGGTTGCTATCCCGGATTGCCAGTTTACTGGCATGATGGGTAGGGTATGGCACGGGTTCCATGCTGCATCTGCGCTACTTGCAGTGCTGAGGTCCTCTTGGGCGCGGAGGGAGATTTCTGGCCCTTTCATTCCTCCTAGGAACTATCCCTCCCTGGTCCCCCCTTTTTTTATTCTTTTTTTTTTTTTTTTTTTTTTTATTTTCCCTCCTCTTCAAGGGGGGCTCCTTGGCGTGGTGAAGAGGCTCTTGGTCTGAGGAATTAGACCTATCGGTCTTCTTCCTCAGACCGAACCTAATTACCCCCCAATCTCCCCTCCCCTATCCCATCCTCCCCTTTTTCCTTTCCTCCTCCTCCTCCCCACTCCTCCCTTTTGCCCTTCCTCTTTTTGTCCTTTGGGATTTCTCCCACAGGCGCGCTAGTTCCTAGGTAGGGGAAAGGACACCGGGGTCCATCCCATTCCGTTGAGGTTTCTTGGCGGTGGCGTAGTTTGCCGTGGAATCTGGATTGCCTAGGGATGTCCCGATCCCTCTCCGGTATCCCGGAGTAGCTTTGGGTGTCTTTTGGGCGACGGGTGTATCTCTGGAAGCCA